TTCCCGTCTTACTCTCACTTACATCACATTATTACCACCTTGTCCTCACACCTCCACCTCTTATTATTATTCTATTTAACTAATTAAAATAATTTTAACTAATTATTATAATTATCCAAATTATTCTAAAAATACTCAATATCATCTTAATTCTCACTACCTCATCATACACCACACAAAACATCATATCAAGCATCATGTTCATCAAGACATTACATAAACACCACAAATATGTCACAAATACTCATCATAAATTAATCAAATAATTAAATAAATAATCTAATTATTTTGGGGTGTTACAGTGCTCGCCCGAAGAAAGGTGCGATTGGGATCATTATTGCCTCGATTTCCCGATGATGCTGGGGCGACGAGCGGCGATGCTGGTAGCGCTCAACTCGCCCCAAGCTCACCCGATGGTGCTTACGAAACTGCAACTTCTCAATTGCGATTTATACACTGCCTGGCCCCATTCCAAATTCAATTACAACACCAAACTTAGTCCAAAACGCATAATATTTATTGTGTATCACATATCATCATCAAAATGCATCATCATATCATATTGGCCACAAATCATATCATGCAAACATCATAAATCAACAATTTCATCATATATTTCATCGAATCATCACATACAACAAAATCTACTTCTAATTTAACCTCCTATCAATCATAATAAATCAAGACTAAACCATTTACCTTGAATCTCCTAGTAACCGGTCTCTTCCTCCGCGTTCTATAGGATTCCCCTCTGAGCCCTAGCCTCTTCTCCGCGTTCTCTCAATCCCACAATCATACAAAATTATTTCTCTCTTCCTTATTTTCTCTTTTTACCCCAAGACCCTTTCTATACTTTTCCCTTTATGCCCTAACTTATCACCATATATTACCACCATGTCCTTACTCTCCCTTAAAACTATTTATTCTATTTAATTATTAATAAATTTAAATAATATAACAAAATTATTTAAATTCAAATAATTCTAATTAGCACCTTAGTCCTACACTACCCCACAACGTACCACATATACATCACATAAACTCACAATAATCACAAATAATCAGCTAAGTAAATAAATCTAGATTTTTGGGTGTTACAATATGCATTTGTCGTTTAGATTGCCACACTACTCCTATAAAATAGGGATGATAATGATCTTCTGCAATTCCGCATGTCTCAATGAGACGTTTGGAAAAAGTGGTCATGATGACCATGACGTCACAACAGTTAAAGTCATTGTTGCTTCGAGCCATTCAAAAAATGACTCTTTCTTCATGTATTCAAAACAGACATTTTTTGGGGGAAATTTATTAGTTGAAATTTCAAAGGTTAAGAAGATTTGAAGTAACAAGTAAAGCTAAAGGAAAACATTTGGAAGAAGCGAGCAATTTCAATGGGAACTCGAAATAATGAAGATTTTAACCAGCAAAGCCCTATGACTACAAGATAGTGATGGCTAGAGACTTAGAATATTTTGGAAGTTCATGTTGGATACGGTTCAACGGGATTATCTGAACCAAGATTTCGACAGATTTGAATTTGAAATAAGGCTATTTAACCGTCTTTTGGTTTTATCTAATTTGTAAGGACGCGTGGAAGCCTGAGAAGGTCGAAATGCATGCAGACGAAAACGTGTCATCCTCAAAGGAAGAGACCGTTTGTTACCATTTGTATCAGATTAGTATAAATAAAGTCTTAAGATCAAATTTTAGAAATTCACATTATACCAAAACTCACAAATTCTCGAAGTATCTAAGTGTTATTGAGAAAAGAGTTGTATGAGAAATATACGTATGAGTAACTTTGTTTTTATTCAATATCAAATTACTTATTTTAACATCATTTTCATTCCTTTACATTTCCCGTCAAAATATATATACATTCAAGTACTGTTCATCAATTATTCTTGAATTACTTTTAAAATTCCTGCTATTGTCGAAGTAGTTGTTACTAAGAAAACTTAAGAAATTCTATGCACATATGTCCTAGAATCAATCTAATCGATCATGTGAGTAACCAAAACATTAAAATTGAAAGACTAGCGGTCGTTTACTAAAATTCACGGTAAACAACACGATAACAATTTTTTCACAAATTTATAATTATTTAAAAATTTGATTATGATATTTTGCCTAAAAATAATAGCTTAGAATTATTTTAATAAACTACTTTAAATAATATTTGAATTTATAATCATAATTTTTTAATTTCAGTTTTACTCTTAATACTTTAATTACAAAATTAATGCTACTTAATTTTTTTAGGTTAAAAATATGTTTTTGGCCTCTATAAAAAATTAGTATGTTTTAGTCCCTACAATATTATTATGCACATAGTTTTAGTCTATGCTATTAAATTAATGTGTATTTTTTTAATGATTATTTTGCAGACATGTTTAGAACGTTATAAAAAGTTTCTCGAAAAAACACTCAAAATTTGATTTCTAAGTCGAGATTTTCATTGCTTTATCAATATCTTTAAAAATTTTAAAAATTTATATTTAATTCTTCTAATTTTAAAAAATTCTAAAATTTGGTAAATAAATATTTTATAGTATTTTAAACACCTATGAAAACAATTATTAAAAAAATTTAAAAATTTAAGGATAATTAAACAGTTTTCAAAATTTTAGAAAATAATAGGGACTAAAACTGCATGAATAAATTTTTTGTAATAACCAAAATGTGATATTTTTTTACTAGGGACTAAAAATGAAATTCAAAATATTTATAGGGACCGAAAACATATTTTACCCATTTTTTATTTATAGGATTAAATACGTTTTTGATCCCTATAAAATTATCAAATTTTGTTTTTGATCCTATTAAAAAAATGACATATTTTGATTCCTACAAAATTATTATGCACGTGGTTTTAGTCCTATTAAAAAATGATATTTTTTAATTCCTACAAAATTATTATACACGTAATTTTAGTCTCTGATTTTAAACCAATGCGTATTTTTGAGTGATTATTTTGCAATCATATTTAGAGCGCTATAAAAAGTTTCTTGAAAAAAAGAACTCAAAATTTGATTTCTAAATCGAGATTTTTATTACTTTTATCATTATCTTGTAAAATTTTAAAAATTCATATTTAATTTTTCTCATTTTAAAAAATTCTAAAATTTGATAAAAAAAACATTTTATAGTATTCTAGACATATATGCAAAATATTATTCAAAATTTTAAAAGTTTAAGGATAATTAAACAGTTTTTAAAATTTTTGAAAATAATAAAAACTAAAACTGCACGCATAAATTTTTTGTAAGGATCAAAATATGTTATTTTTTATAAGAACTAAAAATAAAATTTAAGATATTTATAGAGACAAAAAACATATTTAACTCTTATTTATATTTATCAATTACTTCAACTATTAATTTTGTCAAATGATTTAAATTCAATCTAAAATAAATTAATTTTCTATCAATCAAATGATATGAATTCAATATTCTATAAATTAATTCTTTATTGATTAGTTTATTAGTTATAATTAAAACACTAAATTTAATATTTAGGTGTTCCTTTGGAGAGCTGGAAGCATTCTATTGTCCAGTATAATCCTTTGGTAGAAAAAATGATAGTTAGAATAAAGCGCTGGAACACAAGATTACTTTCTTATGCATGAAGATATCAATTGATTAAAAGTATGATTTCCTCTATTACAAACTACAGGTTGCAGATTTTTCCTATATGCCTTAAAAGGTGATTGAACATATTTAGAATATTTGTAGAAGTTTTCTGTGGACAGGAGAGAATTGCCCCAGCATAAAGGCATTTATATCTTGGGATCATGTATGTGACCATCGTGTTGCTGGTGGATTAAACTTGATCTCCCTTAAAGAGTAGAATAAAGCTCCTTTAGGTAAGCTTCCGTGTAATTTATGTGCAAAGAAAAGGATAAGATGTGAATCCATTAGATTCATAAATACTATATGAAAAATGAGGACAACAGGAGTTATAAACCAACAATCCATGGTTCCTAGATTTTGAAAGCTACGTTCAAGCATAAAGATACTCTCATAAATTTTGATGTGTGGAACACCTTTCATAAGACAGACAAATATGTGACTAGGTTGATGTATCAAATGCTGAGTGGAGAGAAACCTAAAGTGAGGTGGAGAAAGCTAGTCATGGGGAATCTAGTTAGACCTAGAACAACCTTTATTCTATGGTTGGTTTGCCATGGAAGGTTGCATACAAAAGATAGGTTTCAAAGGTTTTGTATCTCAACTGATGGCTTGTGTGTTTTTTATGGGTTACAGAAAAGCTGCAAACACCTCTTTTTTGAGTGTGTTGAGACAAACTGAATATAGCGCCAAATACTTGTTTGGTTGGGTGTGAATCATATACAAAGTAGTTGTGATGTAGAGCTTGAGTGGATTAGCCAAAAGACTAAGGGGAATAGCTGCAAAGTGAAGATGTTAAAGTTGACAATAGTTGAAACAATTTACAATATTTGGCAGATCCACAACTAAATCATTTTTCGGGATTACAACAAGAACAAGTTATGCAACAAATGTATTACTGATATAGTTCTGCTGCATATGAGCTTGATAGAAAATTTGTTGATTATTGTAATAGAATGTGAGATTGTTTAGCCCCTGTTTTGTCTGTTTTGTTTGTGGAGGGTTAGGATATTTTGTTTTTGAATTATTAAAAAAAAACACTAAATTTATTTTATATCTCTTTTTGAGAAAAAAAGATTTTTTTTTCCTCAAAGTTTTGGGCGTTTATTTTATTCTCTCTCTAAGGTCTTATATATAAATCCCCCCTTTTCACTATTGATTTCCAACTTTTTTCTTTCCTTTTATTCATATTCAGAATTAGGTTTGCTTCCGATTTTTATTTCGAATCGAATAAGGCCCTATTGTAAGATTCACGCTCTCTCATCTTCTGCAATATCAGAGTTTTATTTTAGGGTTTTCTAATCTCAACAATACTGTTTTCTTTGTGACTCTCTTTTCTTCGATTAGGGTGAAAAAAAACTGCGAACAATGCCTCCGAAAGTGGTAAAACGAGGTGCTGCGGCGAAGAAAGCGAGTCTTTCTTCAAAAACTGCAATCCAGAATCAGAAGCAAGAACCTGAACCTGAACCTGTGAATGTGAAGAATAACAAAGAAAATCATGTTGCTGATGTTGCGGGGGAAGAGAATCCCGTTGAGACAGTGCCCAATGGTTTGGTTGCGGTGGAAAGTAAGTCCCTTTTCCTCCGTTTTTAAATGGGTTTTTTTCACTCCTAAGATATATATGCGTTGTTTTTAATTATTTTCCATGGATTTTTGTAGCTGTTATGTGAAACTAGGGTTATCAAATTTCTTTTTTTTGCTTATGTTAGAATGTAACGATGATTATCTAGGGCCTATTTGGATAAACAGCTTATTTACAACTTATAGCTTATTTACAACTTATAGCAGAAGTGCTTACGAAAATAAGCACTTATGAATAAGCTTGTATAAGCCAAAGATAAAATAAATTTAAGTGGTTTTTATGTGTTATAAGTTGTTCTCATAATCTATCTTGAAGAACTTACAAAAATAAGCTATAAAAAGTTTATAAAAATTGTGATAAGCTGTTTTGATAGAGTCCCCCAAACAATGTCAGAAAACTATGGCAGTAGATAAGCTCGAATAAGCCAATCCAAATAGGCCCCTAGTGAACTTGGGTTATGAAAACTTGTCTATCGGTATGAGTTTTCTTTAGTAGCCTTGTTAATATTGATTGTTTTGGGAATTGGGATTGGGAGACCACCGGTGATAGTGAATAGAGTTATGATGGAAATCTGTACATGACATATCCCACATGGGCCATCTTAAGTTTTCAGAGGCCCTGTGTAGGTTTGTCACAGTTTAACTGTGGCATAATAAATAGGGGCCCTATTTTTCCTCAGTGACAAAAATTTTCACAAAGCCCTTTTTAGCCATGGTTCAACCGTCTAACATTTTGGGTCCTGTGCGGTAGCCCGCCTTGCACGCCCTGCATCCCACCAGCCCCTGGTCCAGTTTTGGAGTTCTGGAATTTTTAGAAACTAGAAAGCATTTCTTTGATTGGTCGCGGTTAAGTTGTAATGCGTTTTATCGTTTCTTTTGTACTTTTATCATTTTGACAAGTTGAGATAACAGCTATTTTATATACGACGGCTATACTGTGAAGTTTACTTTTATTTATTTATTTTAAGTTTGCTCTATTTCTTTCCTATTTTGTGTTTGTGATTTATGTCATGTGATACTGGATTTATTATGGAAAATGGATTGCCCTAATTTAATATCGTTGGAAAAGTCGAGAGTGTTTTGATCGGGATGGATTTAAATATTTATCTTATAACAGACAATGGGGAGGAGGTTAAGGACTCCATAGATGAATATGAGAAAGATGAACACTTAGATTTGGAGGATAATTATCATGAGTCTGATCCTGACGAGTATGTCGGTGATGACTATGATGAGAGGGAAAATGAACTAGAGGATGGTCAGGAGGTTGTAGATGAAGTGGTGGAAGAAGTGGAAGAGATTGTTGATGAAGAAGATGGTGATACTGGCGATGAAGAAATTGAGTATGTTTACGAAGAAGTTGAGGGTGATGATGATGATGATGCTGATGCTGCTGGTGATGCTGATGCTGCTGGTGATGATGATGATGATGATGATCATGCCGGTACGGAGAACGAGCATGAGCATCTGACTGATGTGGCTGAAGAGGAGCAAGGTGAAGTTAGAAAGGAAAGGAAGAACCGAAAGGAATTTGAAGTATTTGTTGGGGGCCTAGACAAGAATGCAACGGAGGATGATCTGAGGAAGATTTTCGGTAAAGTTGGGAAGATTACTAAAGCCAGGCTAATGAAGAATCCTCGGACTAAAAGGAACAAGGGGTTTGCATTATTGCGTTTTGAAACTGTTGAACAAGTGAAAAGAGCACTGGCAGAGCTAAAAAATCCAGTGGTAATCTTTGATCTTCTCATGGTTAGAGCAGATTTACAATTTGTAGTGTATTAAATCATATATTTTCATGACTACAATTTCAGATTAATGGCAAACAATGCGGTATCACTCCATGTCAGGACAGTGATACTCTCTATTTAGATAACATTTGCCAGACTTGGAAAAAGGAAGCTGTAAGTCTTTTTTTTGGGGTCTATTTCTTGCCACCTTCAAGGGCGAGTAATGATTACTAGTATTACTTGCCACCTTCAAGGCCATTGTCTCTAACTATTAATGAAACTTCTGATGCCAGTTAAAGGAGAAATTGAAACATTATGAAGTTGAAAGTTTCAAGGATTTGACTTTAGTAGAAGATGGTAACAATGAGGGAACAAACTGTGGATTTGCGCTTTTGGAATTTTCATCACGTTCAGATGCTAAGGAAGCCTATAAGCGATTGCAGAAGACAGATGTTGTTTTTGGAGTTGATAAGCCTGCTGAGGTTTCCTTTGCAGACTTCTTTGATGACCTGGAAGATGATATTATGGCACAGGTATATTTCTGGATCTCATTTCCTTGATTTGGTCAAGGGCAGATGTATAAAGCCTGCAAAACATGGTTCTTGCATTTGGGAATTGGACCATTGGTACACACCTATGTTGGCTTCAAAGCTCAGTCGTGGTTCATTTTTATGGAAGACTTCATTTTGGGTGTGATATTATGATTTTATTTCTCTTCTGATTACCTATAAAATTCAACACAGTGAGTTCACTTTAAGATTGATTGATTTAATAAATTTCTACAAATTTAACCTTGTTTACTCTGGAGGTTGGACAAGCATGACAAGATGAAACCTAAGCAGTTTTAATGTCTGGTCAAGATTGAATTCCATCCTTGCCATGTGCATTGTTTTTAAATTTTATTACTCAAGTATAACATAAGTTTATTGATCGCTATGATTCCCGGGCACGACACAAATACAGATATATACACTTCGCTAATCTGCAAAATATAGGACACTATCAGAAATAGGATGAAGATCAGAGAAGATGATGACACGTGTATGTGGGAGGACGTGCAATATGCGAGAACTTTCTAATCTCTAATGAAAATACTATAATCGTGCTTTTAAAAGCCTTTTTAAGTTTCTGATTTTCTTAGAAAAAATGTGCTCACTGTTGGACACGCTTAAACCTAAGAGTGTAGGTGCTTCGTAGGTTGGTCAAGTTGTACCATTTGTTTTGGTGTACCTGATCAAATGCATCTAAATTGCAGGCTAAAACTGTATTTATTGATTTACTACCTCCTTCATGGGATGAAGATTATATCCGAGGTCTTCTTAAAAAATACGGGGAGGTTGAAAAAGTTGAACTTGCTAAGAACAGGCCAGCTGCTCGCAGGAAGAATTATGGATTTGTTACCTTTGCTACGCATGCTGCTGCTGTGGAATGTGCAGAGAGCATTACCAGTGCAGGGTTAGGCGACGGCAACAAAAAGGTCTGTTAGGCTTGTAAATTTGATGTACGTTTGCAACACCTAAATGTAGCTCTTTATAACGCTTCTAGCTTCTTTCAGGCAAAAGTTAGGGCTAGGTTGTCGAGACCTTTTCAGAAAGTTCGTGGAAAACATGTTACTCGTAGTGACTTCTCTGGCCGCAAGCTTGGAAGGTCTGCAAGGCCTTCACGGAGTCGACCTTCACAGCGGAGTCGTCTTGCACTTCGGAATCGACTTGGACCACCAATTCGACCTACACTACAGAGTCGACTTGGACCACCAAGTCGATCTGCTCGTGTGGCGAAAAGACTTGGAAATAGTATTCCACCAGTTAGACCTTCTAGTGCGAGAAGTAGACGCCCTCTCACAACAGTGCCAGTAAGAGCTAGGCCAGCCACTTCTCCAGCTAGATCCTATGAGAGGAGATTGACAGGTCTGAGTTACATTTGACCCTAACAGAGTTTCTGTTATTAGTCTTTGTTTATGATAATATAATAGGATACTGTCTTGCTATCAGCTGCTTATCCAAAAGGTAGCATGAAGAGAGATTATGGTCGACCTGTGGATCTGCCACCTCCAAGAAGTAGAGCTTCTGCAGATTATGGCTCTCAGGTGGCCTCTCAAAGACGTTCATCTTATAGAGATTATCCAGCCCGTGACTCTGGCTACTCTGATCTGCATAGGAGCGTGTCTCGTACTGCACCAAGGAGGGGTCATCTAGATGACAGCTTTGATCAAAGACTTGAAAGGCCTCCTCCGGATCTAAGTTATCGTGAAGGGCGTCCTCGTGATTATGACACATTATCTGGCTCGAAACGTCCATATGCTACCATTGTAAGTACTATTTTAAACATTCATTTTTACGCTCTCATTTATTTATTTATTTTAGTTCTGATTTTAGCAAATGAAATTCTGTTTATTTCTCATCATCAGGATGATATTCCTCCACGGTATGCTGATGCTGATGCTCGCCAATCAAGATCTCGATTAAACTATGATTACGGAGGCAGTGTTTCAGAATATAGAGAGACTTATGGTGATAGGTTAGTTTCTGATAGAAACTGGTTCTTTACAAAATATAATTGGGATCATTTCAGTTTTTTTGGAAGAGATAATTTCTGGTATTTGATAATTAAGCTCCAAGAGTTGGGTCTCTCCCATTAACCACTCAATAATTTTCAGATAGTAAACTCTCCCCCATCATTCTCTATTTATTCTAAACACAGCCTACATAATTAATAAAACATAACTACTCCTAATACTATAATAACTGCCCTAAACTGCTCGTAATAATATAATAACTGTTACAAAATTGAACAGTCAGTTTTTCTTAATTCCTTAATGAGAGAGAGGTCTAAGTTTCCTCCAAACAATGATCATGCATTCCCTGGAACCCACTTTTGTTATCATTTTGCTAACTTACTCCTCGCATCTTGATTGGTAGGCTTGGAAGATCTAGTTTGGGATATAGTAGTGGCAGTAGAAGTTCTATATCTATTCAAAACTCACATGAGGCATATAGCAGTCGACATGACATGAGTTATGGCAGAGGTGAACATTATTGCAAATAATCTGATATGTTGTGTTGAAGTTAAAATTTTATTGTTTTGTCTTTACATCCGGTATTTTGCATCTCAGGTCCGATTGGTGGTAGTGATGGGGGTATATACTCATCAAGTTATGGTGGAGATTACAGATCTCGTGGAAGTGATGTAATGTTACTGTCCTTTCTCAGTTGGATGTAGTGTTATATGGCTATATATTGATGACATTCTTATATTTTATTCTGCTGGTGCTTCAGGCCGGTGGCAGCTCGTATTCATCCATGTATTCTAGCAGCAGGGGTATGAACGGTAGTAGCAGTTTTATGGGTAGTGGCAGCGGATCTAGGTCTTATTATTGATGTAAGTCATCTATCTAATAACTAATTGTCTTATTTCACTCCATGCACGCAGTAGCATGCAAAGTAAGAAATCTCTTTCTTTGCTGTCTCTGTTTCTCTCCCTATGGGGTGAAGGCAAAGATTGCACATGCGATCACCAGTGAATTTGTCTTAACATATCTTGAATGTAACAGAGGCTGCTGTTGGATGTGCTTTTTGAAGCTTACAGATGCAATGATGCTCAAAGTTTTGAAAGAAAGTAACTTTGCTAAGTTATATAGACTGATTAGGATTTTTTCATGAATCAAGGATCATTTCGATCCACGATATCTTGTTTCTTCTCTGGATGGACAACTGAAGTTCTTAAATTTGAACTGCAAAAGGGGGTGAAATGCCAAGCATGTGATGTGTAATTAAACCTAGTTTGTTAGGCTCTCATATTGGGAGTAATGTGAATGATAGTTCCAGGGATTTGGATTATTTTCTGCTGTCAAAAAAGTTGGTTTATTAAATGAAAAATAGTTTTTATGTTATTTTGGATTAGTTTCATTTTTGAGCTACCTACTAGTACTATGGTATCAATGGAAAGTGCTTCCTACCTGCCAGCACTTTTTATTTTCAGTCTTTCTTTAGGCAAATATCCTTATGATTTGTCTTGTATAAAGGAAATCAGTGTGGTTCTTTGTATACAAATTTTTATAATTAAATGAAAGAATGTTGAGATCTTATAACATTATTTTTAGACAGTTTCTCAATTGCACCCTTATACTTTCACCTAAATGCAAAATTTCTAAAAAAATTATAATTTTGGAAATACATCTCTGAATGCACATTTTTTTCACAAAATATTTAATTTTGAAGATGTATATTCGAATAAATTTTTTTTTTTTAACGAAAAGGGTATGTTTAGATATGAATTTTCGAATAAATCTTTATTTTTTTAATGAAAAAAGGTCTTATTTTTTTTTCAGTTTATGAATATTTGAAAAGTTTTTTGTTGTATTTTTTTTAGTATTCGATGTCTTCGGATAGACACACTTAGTAGCCATGCATCAATAATGTAATATAAATATCAACAATTTGTCTTTTAAGGAAAACAATTTTTTTTGACTAAAAAGAGTAATTCATTCAAATTGAAAAATAGATCGATCATTACAAATTCAAGATTGCTAAAAATTGAATCTACAAACAATCTTGGAGCACCTAGGTTAATAGCATACAACAATAACATGAACATGTTTTATGTGCAAAGTTTGCCTTGATCAAAGTTTGTTTGTCTCTCATGGCCTTTTCCCTCTTGTATGTTTTATGTGTAATCTTCTTCCATTGTTTGTGATGTTTGAATAAGTTTTCCTAAATGCCTTGTGCTACTGACTTGTATGTCTTACATAATCTAAACATGTCTTTTATCCATCTATATGTTTTCTTGAGCTTCATTTGCCTTTAGAAACATGCAAGAATATGTTTTTGACCTAATTTTTTGCATTAGCTTTTGTGTGTGTCTTAATGATGATGCCTTAGGGATGATTAGAGGTCTTAGATTGTGATAACATGATGTGTTTGCTTCTGACTTTACTTTTATTTGACATTCCATGCCATGATTGTCCAATCACACACTTCTTTCTATTTCATATTCACTCTTTGTTTTGACCTAGTTTGCATGCTTTGGTATCTGTACCACGATTTTCATAAATAATTGAGTTTTATTTTGATTATGTGGTATATGTTGAATGCATAACATGTCAATGAATGCTTTCTCTTCTTCACATCATCTCTTTCTTCTTATATGTTTACTTGTTAGCATTGCATGATGACTTATGTCCACTTAGGGTTTTCAAACCAACTTTCCTTGAATGATTTAATTGTGAATCTTCCTCAAGTTTAGATGTATGATGATGATGATGAACCTCACATGTATTCACTTCTAACTTGTATGCTATTTCACCTCCTTCATCTCATTCTATCTTCTCATACTTTCTTGATTGCTTATTTTTGCTTTCTACTTCTTCTTTTCCACTTCTCTTGGTGTATTTAAGAGTTTCATCTCTTGTTTGTGTTTTGTCACATAAATATTGAGTGTGCTTGATGTATTATCGTCTTCATATTAATGTTTCATCATCTTTCTCATGCTATTTGATGTCTTGCTATCTTGATGCATACATGATGTTTTACCATCTCATTCTTTGTATGATATTTTATCATCTCATTTTTGCACGATGTTTTGTCATTCTTGATTGGATGTTTTGTCATATATACTTGATACATGCTTCTTGATTTTTATCATCTTTGTGTGTGATATTTTGTCATTCCTCTCCCTTCTTTATTAGATTCTCTTCTTGTATGCTCCCCATAGGATCTTTAGTTCACTCTTTTTTAAGTTTGAACTAAATAGACCTTAGGATCTCTATCCATACACGACAATAATAGATAGATGTTTCCCTCTTATCCTCAACAATAGGATCAACAATACATGATAATTTTAGGGCTATTTTGTTAGTCTCCCTTTAGACTTTTCTTTCTCTTTTGCATCTCATTAAGAGAAAACTAAAATCTATTTTTTTTCAAACTTCTCAAAACACTTAATAATAAAAATGCGATTCATGTGTCATAAGCCTTACATGAGTCCTTTGAGTACGAGACATCTGGCTCGACTACTCAAAGTCTCTCATGTTGTAGACTTTAATGTGGTTCAAATCACCAAAATCCTTTTTCAAGGTAAAAAACACAAACCAATGCAAATCTTTTTTGTCTTCGGACTTTTTCTTTTAAAACCTTTTTCAAAAAGGAATGCCTCGCTAGCATTGTTTATAAAAAATACAAAATAAATGAAAACTTTTGAGCCGAACTACGACGCCCTGATTCCTTAAAAGGGATACATAGGCATCTGGTCACGGGGCTCATCCGAAAAAACTTTGTAATCTTTCCTTCTTTTCTCCGTGTTTTCTTTTGCATGCATCCCCTCTTTGCATTTTGCTTTTTAGATCGTAAGCTTTAGCCTTAGACTCTTTACACACCCTTATATTAGAACAAACATAAGTGGATCTTGTGGAGTACCACAAACACGTGGGATGTTAATACCTTCTCCTTGCATAACCGACTTCCTTACCCGATCTCTACGGTCGCATGACCGTGATTTTACCCCTTCAGGTTTACTCGATGTTTACCTTTCCTTTCGACGGTATAAAAAATTTTCAATGTCGACTTCATTGAGTTTATTTTTGATGATTTATCCAGTTGTTTCACACCTCAGTTCATATCTTGAGTCGCCTTAAGTGTAACCTTTTCGGCGATGAACCTTAAATCGGATTCCTCCCCTTCAAAGGTTTTACACCTCGGTTCATATCTTGAGTCACCTCAGGTGTAACATTCTCGATGATGAACTTTAAATCGGATTCCGTCCCTTCAAAGGTTCTACACCTTGGTTCATATATTGAGCCGCCTCAGGTGTAACCTTCTCGGCGATGAACCTTAAATCATATTTCGCCCCTTCAAAGGTTCTACACATCGGTTCATATCTTGAGTCGCCTCAGGTGTAACCTTCTCGGTGATGAACCTTAAATCGGATTTTTCCCCTTCAAAGGTTCTACACCTCAGTTCATATATTGAGCCACCTTAGGTGTAACCTTCTCGGCGATGAACTTTAAATCGGATTCCTCTCCTTCAAAGGTTCTACACCTCGGTCCATATCTTGAGTCACCTCAGGTGTAACCTTCTCGGCGATGAACCTTAAATCGGATTTCGCCCCTTCAAAGATTCTACACCTCGGTTCATATCTTGAGCCGCCTTAGGAGTAACCTTCTCGGTGATGAACCTTAAATCGGATTCTGCCCCTTCAAAGGTTATACACCTTGGTTCATATCTTGAGTCACCTCAGGTGTAACCTTCTCAATGATGAACCTTAAATTAGATTTCGTCCCTTCAAAGGTTCTACACCTCGGTTCATATCTTGAGCCGCCTCAGATGTAACCGTCTCGGCGATGAACCTTAAATCAGATTTCGCCCGTTCAAATGTTATACACCTCGATTCATATCTTAATCCGCCTCATGTATAACCTTCTCAGCGACAAACCTTAAATAGGATTTCGCCCCTTCAAAGGTTCTACATTTTGACTCGCATCTTGAGCCACCTCAGGTGTAACCTCCCTGGACATCACACCTTGGAAAAAACTGGAACCACCTAAAGTATGATCTCCTGAGCCAACTAGACATAACCTTATACATCTCGGCTTTCATAAGTACAGGGTCCAGCGTCCAAAAATGTCTAAGCACATAAAGACGCCTCCCGGCCTCCACAAGCATGTACGACTATTCAAAACAAAGAAATTTCAGGCAACAACTTAAAAATACAAGCAGAAAAAATGCTTAAATAAACATTCCTATCTCTCAAACAAAGTTACAAACCTTACGAAGATTAAGGACGGGATGAAATCATTCCCATGAGAACGGCCAATTTGTTGCAAAGCAGAATCAGACATATCAGAGAGGATTAGGGCCTTTCCTTCGAAGCTAATCACTATGGTTTTTGCCAAAACCACGTAACCAGGGGGATACCATACATCCATAATCCTCTCACGTATGGGCATACAAAATACATACAAGTGAAAAACCAACGGAAATTTCAAAACAAAAACAAATGTACAATTAATGATAAAAGGCCCATAAGGAAATTGTCAGAACATGCATTCAAAAGCTATTACAAAAGTGCTCCCACCAAAAAAGGGTGACTAACAATCAATTATTCAAGAAAAATAAGGAATCACTTGGTCACATCGGCCTGGGAAGTATCTTCGGTACTCAGCTCACCTGTGGCCGAGGATTCATCACCGTCTTCATCAGCTTCTACATCCACCAGCTTACAATCCACAATATTCTTGAAAAATTCCACTGAGGAGATGTCCAACTCTGGATAGAAGCATAACACCCGATCTTTAGCCCGGTTGAAAGCTATATCCCCGACACCAAGGACATCCATTTGAGACTTCTCCAAATACTTTTACAGGTCGGTGCAGGACCTCTCTGCA